CCAAAAAAAAAAAAAAAAAAAAAAAAAAAAAAAAAAAGACAGGTCCCAAGTCGCTGAGCTTAGAAACCAGGAGGAGGATATTAGTACCTCCTATAGACACTGAAAAGTTGAGAAGGTGCGTCAGTTCGGGGAGAAGGAGGAGATACCGGCAGGTTGGGACTGAAATATTTTGACAGCACACAGGAGGTGTGCTGCAGGCAGTTTGAGATCGGGTTGGATTTAGAGGAGTAGTTGTATAAGGGTTTTAAAGGAAATGGTTTCTCTAACAGCTGACCTGACTCACCTTCAGTTCTACCTTTCCCGAGATCAGAGACGTCCTGCTCTCTTTCCTCTTCTGCCATTAAAGTGCAACAACCCATTCTTCTCTCCCCAGCTCAGATCCTACCCTGTCTGTGTAGCCTTCCCTGACCACATGAGCTGGATGAGCTCTCTCATGGTTCCAAACTCCTCAGGCATTATTGTCTCTACCAGCATTATTAATTAGACCTTCAGTCCACATAGGAGTCAGCTGTGGGGGACTGCAGGCTGTTGCTATTGGTGAATCTGGATAAAGAGTACATTGGATTTCTTCACACTCTTCTCTCTACTTCTTTTGTATGTTTGAAAGTTTCCATAATAAAAAGTAAAACAAAACAACAAAAAAAGAAAAACATTAACAAGTTGCCAAGCTGTGAGATTCAAGCTCAGGCTGTGGGACTCCAGAGACTGTAACTGTAACTGTTGTCATTGCCTTCCTGGAATTTGTTACCACACAAACACACACTGATCACGAAAGTAAAATCAAACACAAGAATACTTTTAAAGACGTATTAATAAGTTTAAAAAACCAAACACTTAAAAAAAATCAGCTAGCTCTGTTGTAACTGCACCTTTGAGGGATTTTTCAGTGTGGGCCGGGCTGACTGAGGCATCTGAAAACAGGAGTCCAGCGAAGTCTCCACTGCTTCCTGGCAAATTTCCCTCAAGTTTTGTTGCTCGAAGGACTTTAGAACTTTAAAAATTAGGGTGGTCATTCTTGAAAATGTCTGTTACCCCTTTGGTGTGCCAGATTGCCTCTAGAACTTTGCGTGCTGTACACTAGGGGAAGTTTCCGTGCTGACTTGGGACTCATAGGAGCACGCTGCCACTAAGTGGTTGTAAAAAGCTGTGCTGGTTACTCCTGTGATGGAGGGATAATTTATAACAAGGAAAGCTGTAAAAATGAGGAGTCGTGAGTGTAGCCTTTATGTATTTATTTATTTATTTTGGCCGCACCCTGCGGCATGTGGGTGGGATCTTAGTTCCCCAACCAGAGGTCGAACTTGGGCCCCTGCAATGGAAGCGTGGAGTCTTAACCACTGGGCCACTGGGGAAGTCCTGTGAGTGTAGTCTTAATTAGTTTGCAGTTTGTTGCCTATATTTTAAATCCTCGTAGCATCTCTGCAAGGTGATTTATTGTCATTTTATGGAGGAGAGAAACCAAGTGTCTGAGAGGTTAAATAGCTTACTTGTAGTCACATAGCTAATCAGTGTCAGAGCCAGCGTCGTCAAGCTCCAAAACCCACCTTCTTTCTGTCTTGCCATGTGTGATAGAGGCGGTTGGACATTAGGTGTGAGGCCGAGGTGTAGTCCTGGCCTGAAGGGTAGATTGGGAAGGCATCAGCTTAGAAGGCAGTTGAAGCCACGGGAGTGGTTGAGATTGCCAGGGAGACTGTGTGGGGTGAGACTGATGAAAGCTGAGGACAGAGCCTGGGTTCCGGAGTTCATGTCCTCCACTTTTTGCAGAGCAGACTTTTTGCAGGGAACGTTGGTCATCTGTAATCTTAAATGTTGTTATTTCTTGTGAACTCTGGCTGTGATTGCTTTGATGACCCAATTCCTGTATATGGGAGGTAGCTCAGTTCCTGACCTGGAGGTGGTGTGTTGTCATTCCAGATTACCTAAAACGAGATCTATGGATGATCTTCTTTCTGCCTGTGACACAAGCAGCCCCCTGACGCGCACATCCAGTGACCCCAACCTGAATAACCGCTGTCAGGAGGCCAGAGCAGGCCTGGAGCCCTGGCATGGCAATCCTGAGGGATCAGAGGCAACCTTCGTGGAATCTGGGCTAGGAGGTCTTCAGCAGACTGTAGGAGAAATGGCTCTTCCTCCGTCTCTGCCCAGCAGCCAGAAAGACTACTTGAGCAATAAACCTTTCAAGAGTCACAGAGGCTCTTCTCCAAGTTACAGGCTGCTTAATGCTGCAGTGCCCCAGGAAACGAAGAGCAGCACCTCTGATCCTGAGTTCAAAGTCCTAGAAGAGACTAAGGCACCAGCTCCAGACCCTCCTGCCCAGGATGAGCTGGGTAGGACTTTAGATGGCACAGAGGAGCCTCCTGAACATTGTCCTGAAAAAGCAGCTGTCCGAGCGCTCCCTAAAGTTGTTTCCAACAAGCGTGATGGAATTTGTGATTTTCCTGAGTCTCCCCAGGACTCCCTCACAGGTGCCCCCGAGCAGGCCCAGCTAGACTCTGTGCTAGGTGTGCCCTCCAGAGGGGCTGCAGCTCATGGTCTGGGCACCCTTTGCAACGCACTGAGTGCTACCTGCCAAATTCCTCCAAACCCAAGCACTGACTTTCTCAACCAAGACCCCCCAGGGTCTGTGGCAAGTGTCTCCCACCAGGGACAGCCCGGTTCTGTGCCAGATCCGATTCAGGGGGAAGAAGACGTGGGCAAAAGAGGGAATAATAGGAATGGGCAGTTATTGGAAAACCCTCGCTTTGGAAAGGTGCCATTGGAATTGGCCCGAAAGCCGATTTCTCAGAGCCAGATCAGTGAGTTCTCTTTCTTAGGGTCCAACTGGGACAGCTTCCAAGGGATGGTGACTTCACTCCCGAGTGGGGAGACCACCCCCCGGCGGCTGCTTTCCTATGGCTGTTGTAGCAAGAGGTCGAGCAGTAAGCAGATGCGGGCAACAGGGTACTGCTTTGGGGGACAGTGGGCTCAGAGAGAAGGGGTGAGGTCACCGGTCTTTTCTACTCATTCCAATGGACATTGTACTGGTCCAGGAGGAAAAAACAACCAGATGTGGTTGTCTGGTCACCCAAAGCAGGTCTCCAGCACGAAGCCTGTTCCCTTAAGCTGCCCTTCTCCAGTGCCTCCTCTCTACCTGGATGACGATGGACTCCCCTTTCCCACGGATGTGATCCAGCATAGATTACGGCAGATTGAAGCAGGGTACAAGCAAGAGGTGGAACAGCTACGTCGACAGGTGCGTGAACTTCAGATGAGGCTGGATATCCGCCACTGCTGCGCCCCTCCAGCAGAGCCCCCCATGGACTACGAGGATGATTTTGTAAGTACTCACCTACTGCCACGCAGCCACTCATTCTGTCCATCCGTCCAGCCTTTCACCCATTCCATATCCATTCATTGGGTACTTGCTGTGTGCCAGAGTTAGGGGGTTGGGCTGTAGGATGAAAGACATAGTCCCTGCTCGCAAGGAGCTCACAGTCTATTGGGAGAGACAAGTAGACATTTAGAATGCTGTTCTTAAGTGTTGAGGGAAGCATCAGGTGTTGGGGGCCTGGGTGGAGTCAAATTTCGGGGAAGTCTCTCCTGAGAAGCTAGTGCTTGAGCGGAGTGCTGAAGAATGTGTCGCTTTTAGCCATGTAGAGAGTGAAAAAGAAATACCATTTGCAGAAGCATGTAGGCAATAGGTACTCCAGCGGTATGGCTTGAATAAAAGGGTGTGTGTGTGTTCGCACACGTGTGTGTGCATGCGTGCACACTTGTGCTGGGACTGTGAGGGAGGGAGTTGGTAGTGTGGCGGGAGGTGACCTTGGGAAGTGGAAAAGGATTAGAAAGGTCAGCCTGAGTGCCTGTGTTGTGTGGATTCTACCCTCAAGGCAATAAAAGTTTTGGCTAGTGAGTCACATGAGCAGATTTGCATTTAAGAGTACTACCCTAGAGGGACTTCCGAATGGCACGGCCAAAAAAAAAAAAAAATTGAGTACTAAAAAGAGTGCTACTACCCTAGCAACAGTGTGTCAAACGGATGAAACCCAGGTGGGGAGGCTGGTTAGGATGTTTTGGAATAAGCCAGGTGAGAGATGATGAGGACCATCTAGGCTTCACTGGGTCGGGAGGCCTCGGGTTTTGGCACAGCAGTCCTCGGGGAGTTTCTAGAAGCCAGCTCTAGGACATTCCCCCCTGCCTGCTGCCCACTCCTCTGCTGGTGGGATGGTCAGGGCTAACAACTTCTTACTATTCAGGGTGATGGTTTAGAACAGGAGTCAGCAAATTTGTTTGGTAAAGAGCCAGACAGTAAATACTTCAGGCTTTGTGAGACATATAGTGTCTTTTGCAGCTACTAGGCTCTTCTGTCTTACACAGAAGCAGCCATAATGACCATGTGTAAATGAATTGAGTGTGGCTGTCTTCCAACTTGACTTACAAAAACAGGCAGTGGGCCAAATTGGCCTGTGGGCCGTAGTTTGCGAACTCCTGATTTAGAATGTAACAGGAGAAATATTCTTTCCATACTGTGATGGAGCATATTGGTTAAGAGCATGGGTCTGAAGCCAGACGCTAGGTCCAAATCCCCCGTTTACTACCTATTAGCTCTTAACCCTCTCGACGGCTTCGTTTCCTTATTTGTAAAATGGGGATAATAATAGCATACATCATGAGATTGTTGTGAGGAATTAAATAAGTTCACGCATGTGATGCACTTAGAAACGGTGCCTGATGCATAGTAAACAATAAATGTTAGCGATGATGAAGATGACGGTGGTGATGCCTTTGCTTTTCCTTTAGACGTGTTTGAAGGAGTCAGATGGTAGTGATACAGAAGATTTTGGTTCTGATCACAGTGAAGACTGCCTTTCAGAAGCAAGCTGGGAACCTGTTGATAAGAAAGAGACTGAGGTATGTCCAGGCAAATATGTGGCAGGGCCTTTTGCAAGCCAGTGAGTTCTCATACTTCTCAGAGGTGACTGACCTGTTCTTCTCCAGGTGAGTCTCTCTGTAGGGCAATAGTAGCTGCCTAGGCCTTGTCATCTTCTGGGATGCTTTCCTTGTTGCAGTGTTGCTTTTCCACTCTGTTGACAAGGACCTGGGATTTTTCCCTTTTGCCTTCTGTTAGGTGACTCGCTGGGTTCCAGACCATATGGCATCACATTGCTATAATTGTGACTGTGAATTCTGGTTGGCCAAACGCAGACACCATTGTAGGTAAGATGTTGCCTATGATTCAGTATGGCTCGTAAAGCCTACTGAGAGACATGGTTATGAACTAAACTGAATTAACCTGAAAATGGAGATATCTTAATAGGAACTATTTTTGTTTTCTCCCAACTTTTTCTTTACTCATGTAAGGCCTTTTAGAGTATCATTCATTCCCAGTATATCGGCATTTCTGATGAACTCTCCCCTCTTTGTGCTTTGGCAGAAATTGTGGGAATGTATTTTGTGCTGGCTGCTGCCACCTGAAGTTGCCCATTCCTGATCAACAACTCTATGATCCAGTTCTCGTCTGTAACTCATGTTACGAACATATCCAAGTATCTCGGGCCAGGGAACTCATGAGCCAACATCTGAAGAAACCCATTGCTACAGCTTCCAGTTGAATGCCAGAGGCGAAGACCTGTCCAGTTTTAGCAGGTTTGAAGGGAGGATCTGCTTCAAGTGTAGTTTTGAAGGTTCCTTGGTGTGGCTCGTGAAATCACAGAGCTCAAAGATACAGTCTTGAGAAATCCTCCTTGGTGCCATGAGACTGGAGCAGAGGAATTCCAATTTGGCAGGAGGTCCTCTACTGGTGAGACCCTTACCTTGGGGTAATGGTCCTGATCCAGACCCAGAGTCTGGAAGCTTAACGTTGAGTTCGTGGCTCCAGTTTCTTTCTCCTGGGGTCACAAGATGATGATTTCATAGATACTGCCTGGTGATGTGTGCCCCAAACAGCAATAGAAAGGCATATGTACAACCAAACTCCAAATGATAACCAGATCCATCTCTCCTCCACCTTGAAAAAGGCAGATTATAGTATATAAGATAGGAATTCCTATCCTATTTGAAATGAACTATACCCTGTACCTCTGTGCTCTGTGTCTGTGCATGAAGGCTCAGTCTTTAGAGGCACTCCCTCTAGTTGCATTGGCTCTGTCTTTCTGTGGAGTTTGGTTTAAAGACTGGTTCAGCAAGTGGAGGTTTTGCTGTATTTTTCACTTGGCTCATCAGCCAGCATCAGTGAATATTCAGTTTAGGGGGACAGTTTTAGGGAGTGAGACCCTTTTGGGAGCAGAGGAAAACTCTGCTGATGTTCAGTCCTGGCAGAAATCAGTTATTCTGAGCTGTGAAGGCAGGAGTCTTTGTTACTCAGTGGCAGCTCTGGCGGTATGCACTGTGAAGAATGAGAAGGGAAAAGCAGAAATTATCCTTGTGAAATATTTGCTGATTGTGCCCTACCCTTTGCGCCTGACTTTTCCTAGTTGTCCTGGTGCTAACACAGGAGCTACACCTTGATCCTCTCCTGGCATGAAAATAAAACACTGTTTATTTTGGTTGTTGTTCCCATTGCCCACTTCCCACATGTCCTCTTTCCCTTGGCTGGTGCGTCCTCTGGGTCACACCG